CTTACCCCACACCTGTGCCACACCTCCCCCACTACCTTTGCCACACTCTCACACAAGATTCCAAACTATCATCTGCCACACTCCACCCCACAAAGCAAACACCACCGCCACACTTCTACCCAGCTTGAAACAAAGAGCCGCCACAACTTTGCCACCCCATGTGCCACACTAAGCGTGCTATTTGCCACGATGTCTTTCTACTAGCTGTGCGTGTGTGCTGTTTTGTTCAGCAGGTCATTTGAATTGGACAGAACAGTTTTTATGCGTTTCGGTTTGTTGTCGCCGGCATCCCGCAAGAGGATTTAGAGTCTAGAGTCTGCACACCCTTCACTAAACTTTACACATTAGACTCCAAAGTATGTTTAGTTTACCTCTGTAAGTAAGCCACGACCAGTTTAGAAAATGTAGAAGCAGAAGCCTCCAAGTGAACAAACTGTTGCACAAGTTGCCTCAATGGAATGGATTAGTTTTTTAGATTTGCTCAGCGATGGGCGATGGCGAGTTGTTTTCTGAATGAAAGTAGCGCTGGTGGGGCTGGTTCAGCCGATTCAATACAAGCAGAAGCCTCCAAGTGAACAAAATGTTGCACAAGTTGTCGCAGTGCAATGGATTTTTTGGATTTGCTCAGCGATCGCGAATTGTTTCCTGAAAGTGGTACTGGTTCAGCCGATGCCAATACAAGCATCCTGGTTCCATCCCATGATGTCGAGAATCCAGCCAATGCAGCAACTTCTGGTGAAGCAGTGGCAAGACCTGAGCATGCGTTGGTTGAACTAGCTGGTCCTGCACCCAGAAGAAGAAGAGCAGAATCGAATGGTCCGAGAATCAATTCTAAAGGAACTCCGCTGGAGCGCCATGCATGGCAGCTAGCCATGAGAGTGAAGAAGCTTCAGAAGCAAAAGGCTCGATCGGAGCAAGAGGTGTTTGCTTTGCTGTCATCTTTGGAACGCAAGTCATCCACAGAATCGAAGGTCAGAGTTCATCGCACTAAACGTGGCAAGGTTGTTTCTCGGCATGGCCTGGTTAAGGTATCCTTCATCAAGCAGCGGACAACAGGCAATCAACGCATTCAACGTTGGTCCATGAGGGACTTTCTGATCGCGGCCTTTGGATGTGACAGGCGGAGAGGAAGGCGCATTGCAGGGAGAAACACCCAAGCAGTGGCACTTGGGATGGACCCGAGCACAGTAGCGTACTTTCGTTCTGTGTCTGCCGGCGCCGTGCTTGCTAGACAAAGCTGCCTCCTGGCCCGTCTGTACATCTTATGCCAGCGAGAAAAACCATGGGTGGCTGGATTTGACAGCAGTGCGTTTTCACTATTTGTTCATTTGTCCCAGACTGCCCATATTCTTTGTCTAGCCCCGCCTATATAGAAAGGATTATATTTAAATTTAGATGATTACAGTAAGTGCTATTGCTATGTAAAGCTCAAAACTCTTCAAAGAACTTTGTAACAACTGGTGCCTCACAGGTTGTGGCCGAGCGGAAAGGCTTCGATGAAACTGCTCAATCGATCAGTGTACACGGGGAGCATGGTGCACATCAGGTCATTGTTCTCAAAAAGACCTTGATTGTGGTTTGGCCTTCGGCAGAGAGTGGGAGGAGAAGAATGGTAAAGTTGCCTCTTGTCATTTGGCTGAACTCATGGCCTCCTTTTGTTAAACGTTTTAAGTTTTGGTGTGAACGGTCATCACAATCCAAACAGAAAAATAAGCTACTATACTTTGTACGTATTGTTGGAAAGCTATAGTATCAGTTTACGCCGTTTAAGTTTAAGCGTTTAAGCCTAAGCCTTTACAGCTGCGATTCAAAGTTCCCCAGGTTATCCCACCTCTCTTGGTTCTTTCACCGAGTGCGAGCAATCTCTTTTATGCGATGGAAAACCACCCTATGCTTCACACCATCAACACCTCCACAAGGCTCATCATGAATACAGCAGAAGAAAAAATTCTTTTGCAGGAGACGGACAGCGCCTCTGGAAATTTGAAGCTTTTCAACCATTTCTTGACGCTGGGCGCACAGGATCAAATTCTTCGAGAGCTCATGGTGTGCCAGTCGCATCAGCTTCATTTGGTGGAGACAGCAATGGTGGGCACCACCAACACTAAACTCATAAGCAGTTTTTTTTCCTTCACGCATTTTGTTCGCGCATCCAATCACTGGTCGAAACTCAAGCACGCTGTCCATCAGCTTGTTCGAGCACAGACGGACATTTATGTCGTCAAGAGTCAAGAAGCTCCGTGTTGGCCGACGCACGCACAGTACTTGGACGAGCTCACTGCCATGCAGCTGCAAGTCAAGAAGGCTATGAACCATGCCTATGTCCAGCAGAAGGGCGAGGGTTCCTCAAATGCAGAACCAAATTTGTCCAAGTTTGAGAGAAAGCTCCAGGACTTCAAACAAATGTGGAATACAAGCTTGCCATCACGCAGCGGCAAGTTTGTTCATCAGTGCTTGCGGTCTGGGCCTTCAGAAACATGGTGCTGCAAGTCAGATGAAGAAGCTCGGGAAAAAATGTTTTCAACTTTGGCAGATGTTGCACTGTCTATGATGCCAGAAACACCAGCACCAGGGAAGTGGACCAAACTATGGTCTTGCTTGCAGTTCATGACATTTGGGGTCGCTTGCTCCTCGTTCTTGCCTCGTGTTGTGGAGACATGGCTTGGGGAATTGCAGTTCACCCGAAGCAAAGTCAAAGAACCAGATCCCGACCTGGACCCTGCCCTGACGGCTGTTCAAGAATTCCAAAAGATCGCAGGCAAGCGAGGCCAACGGACCAAAGAATTCCTTTCAACTGTGGAAGAGACGATTCTGGGACAACAGCTTATAGTCCTCAACATACTGGAGGAGGTGGTGCGTTTCTTGACGTTTGAATTTTTCAGCTTCTCAGATTGCGCAATTGACAAGCCAACACTGTGCCTCTTGTGCAACCCAGAGACTTCGCCAACGGTGGCAGCCGAGCAGTATCTCTGCTCCTTGCTGATGAATGATGACAGTGAACCAACTCGCCTAGTGCTAGTCTTTGCCAGAGAAGGATTTAACTCAATCCAGGAGTGGGAACATGCAAGACCGGAACAAGCACGTGCACTACGCCGAATGACCCTTCTTGCATCTTGTTGGATACAGCGCCGCCATAGCGATCGTTTCTCTGAGTTTCCTTTCTGCCTGTCGATGCTTGTGAACAACCAAGTGTCACACGAGAGAAGACAAGCAGTTGCAAGTCGTTGGGATGGCAAATTACGCTGCTGCCTCAGACCTGGGTTCGCACGCAAACTGAAAGATCGTGGAATCCGCGGTGCAGACCTTTTGACGCCCAAGCGACCTGCCTTTCATTTACCAGATGTTTTTTGCAAATACTTTTCTCTTTACAAATATTGAATCTATCTATTTTAAAGTTATAATAAGCAATAATCATAATAGGCTTACTTACTCAGACTGTACACTGTAGACTTTAAACTTATAAACTATAAACTACTCTTTAAAATCTGGATCCCTCCATATGTTTTGTCCTTTCTTCTTCCCTGTGCCCAGTACTCTGTACACTACTCTTCCAAGACAACTGCCAGGTGGGAAGGCGTTCTTCATGCATTCTCGTGTTTGGCTACCTGCAGTGTCTCTGACCTGGAAAGAAAGCATGGCGAACACAAACGCCTTGCATCAGAGCCAAATTGTTCCTTCATTTCCTTGATGGTCAACAGTGTGAACAATGAAGCTCGAGTATCTTACCTCAAGTTCCAGCGAAAGGCGCAGTCATGCTTCAAGAACTGTCCGGTCAAGAAGAAAGGGAAGCGCAAATCTCTTCCATCAGATCCCGTACCTGGAATCACAGAATCTATGACCAGTCCACCTGCTTCGAGCAGCCGTGCAAGTGCCATTCTTCTTTTCCGGAAGCAATACATTGCCGCTCAAACAACAGCTGGTAAGACCCGTGACTGGTTTACAAAGGATGCCTGGAAAGATGTGAAGACAGCGTTTTCGGAGTTGCCAGCGCAGGAAAGGACACATTTTGAGAAACTTGCCAAATGTGTCAACTTCAATCGACGCCTTCGGGGCAAAGCAGCAGCAAAAAAAGACTGTGGCGATTGATATCAGGCCTGAGCAGCTTGCTCTGCCCCTTCTTGACCAGGACCACAGTTTGGAATTGATGCCCGTGGCACAAGCATCAGTGGAGTCAACCGTGCCAAATGCATTTCTCTCCACTTTTGAGCACACACACCTGCAGCAATGCGCTTCCAGTGTGGATTGTTTTGTCGGTCA